TTTTTTTTTTTTTTTAACTTTTTTGTTTTCTTGGGTATTTTTCATATTGTAATTCTGTATGAGCTTTACCACCTTAATCTATTTATGGCTGAATCTCTGGTTATAAGTAAATCGCTCCAATTATGCCTACAGCCATATGTATGGTCAGTTTTGCTATGGAGTTATCGGATGACTTGACTTATATAGTCATCCATACTTATTCACCAATAGTGTATTGACACGTGTCCTACAATAAATACACTTTGAACAGGTGTCAATATATTAAGTAGTGGATGACTTCATAAGAAAATCATCTGACGGCTCTATAAACTTTTTGTATGTATGGATAAAATGGAATGGAAGTTTTACCTTCCCTCCTTTTTGCTATCAAACAATAACATCCACACAAACCAGCACACAAGCCAAATTCCGCAACAAATTAGACCCACAATCAATAAACAAAAGAGAGCTGCAAAAAGAGAACACAGTGCTTAAAACTCCAACTGAAAACAACGGCTAGAAAAAACCGGTGAGAAGGCAAGTCTCTGTCCATATTTGAACTCTCGAAGTCGTCAATCGGGAGAAGAAGAGGGCCCAAAGGATTGATGAAATGAGGGCTTTCAGTTCTTCAGAAGAGAGAGAGAGATGAGGGCTTTCTTGAGAAATTTTTTAAATATAGTTTCTCATGGATTGATGAACTAGATAATTTGTTAAAATTTTTTTTAAAAAAATATATATATATATATATATTATTTTTGTAAGTATACATAAATGTAACATAAAAAATGTTGGTTTGTATATAAATTTTGTATATCAAAGTGTTAATAATATTGTGTCTCATAATAAGTATTTACCATATAAATATATATGTACGTATTTTTTAATTTATAAAATAAAAAAATAATTAAAAAAAATAGTGAGCAAGTCAATCCGGTTTGACCTGGCTGGGTCATTGTCTAGTCAAGTTGGGTTGATCGGGTCTGTTGTCACCCGGTCTGAATCACCCACCTGAACAGGTTCCAACTTCAGATGAACCCTTCGTACTAGTCCAAATTGAAAAACAATGAGATTGGGCACTATTTACAGTGTTGTGTGTGGTGTGCATTTGAATAACTATATAAGAACACAAAAAATTTTATGAGCCTGCCTACCCCGTTAAATAGGTCGAGTCATTACTTTTAAATAATACAAGCTTTTGTTTATCTTACTTTTCAAAGAATGACATTTTAGTTTTAAAAATAAAAATATGCAAATTCACTCAAAAAAAAGTATGTGTAAACAAAGCAAAGAGCACAAACATTTGAGCAAGTAAGAGGCGAACGAAAATCCTATAGTACATTTGTAAATTAGTTGGTCGTGTGAGTTGCCATACATTAGTATCTAGCACACTGGACACTGGCGAACGCTAGATAGTGTAAGGCCAGGGGTAGTGTCCCTCGATAACGCGAGTAAAGCAAGGGTTTTTACCAGACTCGAGTTATAAGAGTGTCTACATGCATAAGATAGCTAGATTAGGTAGGTGCTAGATCGTGAGATTCGTGTGTAGGTCTATAAACGAGTCGAGCCGAGTTGAGCCAAGCTCAAACTTAGAGTGTTCGAGCTCGAACTCGAGCCCTTAACGAGTCGAGTCGAGCTTGGCTTGTTGAATAAATAAGTCAAAAATCGAGCTTAAGCTCAGCTTGTTTATCACTATTAACGAGGTGAGTTCGAGTCTTAACAAGACGATTTCGAGCTTTAATGAACCAAACTATATAAAATTATGGAAAAAATCTCTTTCAATCCTTAACGAGTTTTATTTAGTCGAACTTAACCAAACAAGTTTTAAATGAGCTCCAGCTCAGATTGTTAAGGGCTCTTCTTTAACGAGCCGAACCAAACCATGTTCGTTTAATTTAACAACACTAAGTGTGAGTTGTAACATTTCCATTGTGCAATTAAGTAATTAATAATTATAGTCTGTGGTTGGAATTCGACCGTAAATGTGCGTGTCACTCGTGATTAACTTTCTATAAATCATCTAGCATATCCAAAGCAACAAAATCTATGGATAAATTCATCAACACACCAAAACCTGGTTCGAAATCTATACGAAAAATTTACCAAATTTTACAGGTTTGTGAACAAACATAAGTACTGCTGCCTCAGTAACATTAAAAAAAAAAAAAAAAAAAAAAAAAAAAAAAAAAAAAAAAAAAAGACCATCTATGCATGCCACAGGCACCAAATATGTCTGCAAATTTTGTGGTGGTCCCTTTTTACAGTGGCTCAAACACTCTGGCACGCACACACCCGAGTTACGTTACATAAGAGTTATAATTACATCTCTCACTGTAGTTTCAAACCTCACTGCCGACTTTGAAATTCGAGAAAGTAACACTTTGTCGAGCTTCGGATGAGGATGAAGCTCCTTTCTTGTCTAGGCCAAAGAACGAACAGCTCTGAAACCCGTCCAAACTGTTTGCTATGAGGCGGTTCAACCCGCCTAGGCTGTCGCTAAGTATTAGTTCATTGTTATTGTATCTACATGGGGTTATGTCCAAATCTAACGGTCCTAACGATTCAGGCTGTAAAATACCAAAAAAAAAAAAATAAATAAATAAATAAAATTATCAATTAGCTCATCAGAACTAAAAATGAATAAGTAGAAAAAGGTTTCTTTGAAATTGAAGGAGAGTTGGATTTTTTATATTATTAGACTATAGTTTGAGGATATCCCCCTGAATTCAGAACGTGCTGAGCCTAAGTGGCAGGCTCGCATGCTTCGGGATCCTATGTGGCAAAATTGCATGCTTCATTACTAGGTTTGGGTAGATTTTAATTTACTTCCAATCCAATAAAAATTAGGTCCGAATTATCCATAAATATGTTAATTGGTCATGTTACATGTATTAATTGCATTTTAATATTATTTCTTATTATAACCATTGAATTGTAAATGTATATTTAAAAGTTAATCACTTTTGTATTTTTTATCATTTTTATATATATAATATATCAAATTAATCATCCCTTGATGAGCTTCGATTTAATATCCATATTGTATGTGAAAAAAAATTAAATTATATTTATATTTACAACAATAATAAAATTGTTTTTTAATATTAATTAAAAAAATAAAATTATTTATCAATTAATATATTTATATTTCAAGTAGTTATATGATTTAAGTTAGTACAATAATATAACACATGTAAGTCGCACAAGTAACAAGTGTCATTCTAAAATATATAATAATATATATTTTTTGTAAAAACAAAAATAAAATTTAAAATAATTTTTCTTATTAATTTTAAAATCTAAGAAATAATTTTTTAACAAGCACCCATGTATTGGGTGTTGCACTAGTCTTTGAAATAATGAAGATAAAAAAACTGCAAAATGGGCCATAGGAAAAGCTCACCCAATATATATCTGTGAGTCCACCTAAATCCTTGGTAGAATTCTCTAAAGGATGATCGGCTCCACAGTCGTCATCAATCAAGTCACCATTATTTGTCGATTTTCCCCCATCAAGCAACTCATCTGAATTCTTGGTAGAACTCTCTAAAGGAAGATTGGCTCCACAGTCATCATCCATTAAGTAATCACTATTTGGCAATATTTCCACATGGGGCAACTCCTGCAGTAAAAGTCAAGAGTAAAAATAAAATTAACCAAGAACTCTTAGGGGTTGCTTGGATAAATCCATTTGAGTTTTGATTGGATTTGTTGGTTAACCAGAGTTAATTTAGAAAAAGTTGGTGGGGTTAGGTGTGAGTGGAATTTTAAGTTTGTATTAAAATAATATTTAAAACAAAATGATTAAAGTTGATGGGTAGTTAAAATTATGTGAGTGAATGAATAGTGAACTAAAGTTGATGTGATGTGTTTGGGATGATTGATTGATATTATTTAATTATATTGATAATATTTAGGAGGGTTGAGTTGAGTTAAATTTGAGCCAGATTTTGAGTTAAAACATAAAAATGTGATTGATGAAAAGTAATCAGATATGATTTATATCCAAGCACCCCACCCACTCGTAATAAATAGTTTAGATAGATGGAAAAAAAGGGCAATTTTAAATCAAACCTCGACTTCCTTGTGAGGCGCCAACGGGCATGCAACTCTAGCAGGCTCGAACACCTCTACAGAGCTATCCATGCAAGTAGCATTTGGGTCTTTATCGTGAAATGAACTCGTTTTCTTGAAAGCAAAGGCATCGCAAGTCTCCTCGCCATCCCAAATGGATGGTACTTGGAACCCATTGCCTTGGCTTTGACTCGGCTGTGACTCAACTCTTACTTGGTGCTTGTAAATGTGGGCAGCAATTGCAGCATCAAAGGAATCGCAACTGAAAGGGATCTGCTGGAAACAGTTGGAACCACGAGGGTTTGAAAAATTGGCACAGCTGGCATCTATGTTGTGTTCGGATTCGGACAAAAGTTCGCCCATGCTTATATTGGTGAGACTATCAGCCCACTCACCAGCAGACAAAGGCATATCCTTCTGTAAAGGGTATATAGATTTCAGAATACGGAAGGTCGTGAAATAGTTTTGCTTGAAGTAGTAGAAAAGGGAAACAATGGTTTAAATTTGATAGTGGTTTTTGGTACTGTAACTGAACAATAATATGGAAGCTGTTTCAACACAAAAATGAAAAGGCAAGTTCTTAGAAACAGTCAAAAAGAGGAAAGCAAGGAAAGTTCAATACATACCATGTTCGCAGTTTGTCTCATAACTGCTAAATCTTCACTAGCTTTTCCAAGTGATGAAAGTCCGGAAGCATTATTGTTGATAAGTGAAAAACTACAGTCAGCTACCTTAATCGGAGTCGGTGTACATGAGGGTGTCATGTTAATGATTCGTTCGGCAGAACCAAACTGATTATCACAGAGGCCGTTTGGAGATTCAGTTTCGGCATTCTTCTCTTTTGCTGTGCTAATGTTTGTATTTTGCTCTTTAGTATTGGCAAAAGACAATACTTGAGCAGTTGCAGCTTCAATCTCAGCTTTCGAAAACCATCCATATCTTCAGAAACAAATAAAACAAAAAAGAAGGCAAAAAAAAAAAAAA